ACGAAGGTTTCCGCTGTGACGACGGTCAACGGAATAGTGGCCCGCATATACACTTTGCAAACATGTTTTGGGAGAAACACTAGCGTTTTTGGGTGAAAAAGATAAATTAAGTGCAATCCAGTGTTTTGAGCGTTCTGAGCGTTTCGCTAGCCGCTGCGCGATATCGTGCTATGAATGTGGAAATGAAACAAAATTGGCTGAGCGAGAGTCGCTGGTGTGGAACGTATCCATGATTTTTAACTAGACCTCCTTCTATATTTTTCTCAAAGAGTCTGGTAATATTTCAAGGCTGTCCTCCAGATTCTTTACTTTCAAGAACAAGCGAATACTTCAATTCCGAAGCCTGCCGCGATAACCTATGGTGACGTACCTCGTCAGGTACCACTAGATGAGAATGGCCATAAATACGTTGGACTTATCAATCAGGTTGGTTTCCATATAAGATCTTTCTCACCCTGAAAGTAGGATACATTAAGAGCTTGAGCGGAAGGCTCCAGTGACTCTCACCGCAGAAAAACTGCGCCCTTCATCCTTGCCCCTTGCCATTAATCATCTAGGCTTAGTTGCTGACTCTTTTTTGATTGCTTAGGCCATGACGTGCTATCTCAACAGTCTTGTGCAATCTCTTTATATGACACCGGAATTCAGAAACGCGATATACAGGTGTGCGATGTGTTTCTGCAGTTGAGCTTTCAGTATCGTGTATCGATCGCTGTTATAGGTGGGAGTACCGCAGCAGTGGAAAATCGGGAAGCATCGGTGAACGTGAAGCGAGGAGCATACCGTATCAGATTCAAAAGTTGTTCTTACTACTGCAGACGAGTGATCTAGGTTCACTAGAAACCAAGGATCTGACGGCAAGCTTTGGGTGGTCTAGCAATGAAGGTATGGTGCAAATTGACTCGCTCTTTCCGCAGTTTTCCTGTCGAGCTCAGGATGATTTTCTCAGCCTACGACCAACACGATGTCCAAGAGCTTTGTCGGCTGATGTTCGACGCTCTAGAGCTGAAGTGGAAAGGCACTCAAAACGAAAAGCTGATTCAAAATTTGTACAGGTACGAGGCGGATGTACCTTTTTATGATGCGCATTTTACTAGACACCTTCTTTCAGAGGAAAAATGCAGGATTTCGTAAAGTGCTTGAAGTGTGGTCGGGAAAGTTTGCGATCGGACGTTTTCCTTGATCTTCCACTTGCCGTGAAGCCTTTCGGTGCCGTTGAAGCCTTTCGCAGTGTTGTGAGTTATTACTCAGTATCTTTTAACGAGGAATAGCGTAAATGTCGGTATGCGCCCCCTTCCTAGTAGTTGAATGTTTTATGTGTTTAGTAAGTAGTAAGTACGTAAGTGCCATGACTGACTTGTTACTTGTCTGTGGCAGCTCCGCGTTTTCCTCCTGGTTTCTTCGTAAACGCCGTACTATTCGTCTCCTTTCCTTTTTAACTTCATAAGAAGTAATGTATAACATCTGGTTCTACTTACAAAGGAAAGATGGTGAGAAATACGATTTTCGGAAGTGGAGCAAATTCAACTCGAATGCAGGGCGATGTGCTTCAAATATGGGTTAGATCTGACTAAATGTAGAAACGAGTCTTATTCGACAACTTCTTTTAACGTTGGCAAAACTGTGAAATTTCGCATACATACACTGACTTTTTTGGGAGCAGAAGCAGTTAGCCTTTTAACCACCTTATTTCTCCTGAGCAGATCATCTAGCGCAGTCATTCTATGTACAAAGTTTGCACAGGGGAAGTATTAATGGAACAGAAGCAGGGTGTGGGAGCCTGTACTAATAGGTCATACCCATTTCAAAGGAATCTGAGATACATATAAAAGAAAAACCACCTCGATCGCCCCAGCTGTCGCCCTTCCTCTACCCTAAGGACACTGCCCGATTTACGCCGCAATAACGGATTCTGCTAGAGCACGTGAGCTAGAGTTATGGATCGTTGATCAACCGCACTGTTCAAAGGATTTTTTGCATCAGCCAAGAACTGAAAAGTAGCGCCCCGTTCCGTCAAGACGCAGAAGCAGCAGCAGCGCCCGCCACATCACAGAAGGAGGGGAGCCGGCCTTAGCCAACGATCCGACTGGTACGTTCATAACCCACACGGGAATATTGCAGCCTGTTAGGTTAGCCGCTGAAGCAGCCTTTGATTCATGGATTCTGTCCTCTTGAAGCTGCTTGGTTTGGAATGCACTCCCGCATTTAGCAGCGGAACCCTTCAAACCTCCAACCCTTCCCTCACTCTAACCACTAAAGGTTGTTGATGGAAGATAATTGTGGTAAGAGTGATTAAGTCAGTTGCTGCTGTTCATAACATCTCTGTAAACAAACCCCATGCATTTGGAATAGAGCTAGCTTAGCGGTCGTACATGATGTCGTTACTAATAAGCAGTGAGGAATGAGTTCTGTTGGAATCATTGAGATCGTTATACTTGAGTCATATCGATCGCATTGTTGTTGTGAGCGGTGAAACTGATTTTCCCACGTTAACTTGTCAGTTTTAGCTCCTATCACTTCCGTA